TCAAAACTTTTTTGCTATTGATAGGAAAGGTATATTCATAACTTTTATCACTAAAAGTCATTAAGAAGATTGTTTACAAAAGGAAAAAGTGTGGTAAAGATGACTTTTGAAGGGTTTCTTTAAGTTGGTTCAAAGAAAGTTATAAGACTTTATTAGTCAAGAAATATAAAAATTTCTTGTGAACATCTTTTTTGTATATGATTAGAGGATTAGCAGAAAGAGTTGATGAAAAATTTGTATCTAGATTATAGATTAATACTCTTCCAATTTACACATTATTGCTAACAAATTGTTATTATCAATTATTTCTCAAGATACTAGTTTCAAGAAACTATAAAAAAATAAAATAAAAGAAAAAATATATTTAAAAATATACAATTATATTTATATTTTATATTATACTGTATTTAATTTTTGAAATTTTTTTTAATATTTTTTTAGTTCACTCAAAAAACTATATAATTTTTTATTTTAAATATATTAAATAAGTATTATATATTAACTATTCTTAGTATTATTTATATATAACTAATTGTATTAATTGTACTATATATTTAAGTATTACTTTTTTGAAAAACTACGTAATTCTTTTATGATTATTTCTAGCTTTTATTTTTTAGAATGATTAATAAATTCCTTTTTCCATTAAAGTTTTCTGATAGCAAGAACTATAGTAACATATTATAATCAAGTATTTAAAAGTTAATAATATTTTATTGATTAAATAAATTTATTTTTCTTATTACCTTTTCTAACTTATTACTAAAAGTAATGTAATTAAGTCAGAATAATTTTAACTGATTTCAGATCACAATTTTTATATAAACTATATTATAAATTAATATTTAATTTTTTTTAATTTTGAATATTATTTAGAAACATTAGAAATTCCTATTTTATTTTTGATTAAATTAATTGATACAAGTATTATTAAACTTTATTTATTATTCCTAGAGGATTTGAACTTGTGTTTTATACTCTGATCTATAGAATGTTAATTATGATACTATTGATTCATAAATTAAAAAAATATTATTAATAATAAATATTTATTAATTTTAATAATTGGTTTTTTTTTTTTAATTTAATTAATTGATATACTGTATATAATATATAGTATTTTAATAATTAATTATTTTTTTATTAGTTTATATAAAAGACTTTTATATATATTATTATATTTAAATTAATTTGATTTGTATTTACTTAATATAATAATATTTTTTCTATTTTAAACAAAAATTTATATATTTAAGAAAATTTATAAAAAATAAATTTTTATTATTAATTTAAATTATATAATTTTATAATATTTAAAATTTATTATATTATAATAAAAAAATTAAGAGATATTAATTATTTTATTTATTTGATTTTAAAATTTTTTTTAAAAATATTAATGTTATTTTTTTTTTATAATTTGTAATATTTAAATAGTTATTTCTATTTTAATTTTTAATTATTCAAATTTAATCTTATATTTTATTAGAATATTTTTGTTAAAATTAATATATATGCAACTTGTTTATTAAGATTTTAAAGTTATATACTGTATATTTAGACAATTATTGTAATATTAAAAATAAAGTTTTAAGAATTGTTTCTTATTTAATTTAAAAAATTTGTGAGATATTTATAATTATTTAAACTAAAAGTTTTTCTTTATATAATTTTTTTAATAATATAATTATATATTTTAATACTTGTTTGATAAAAAATTATAAGTTTTATTAACATATAACTTAACTTGATTTGATTATAGTTTATTTACTATTTGTAAGAACTAATAATATTATATTTATAAATTAAATTTTTAATAAAAATTTATATTTAATACTTATTTATAATAATAAAAAAATAATAATAAATAGAATAAATAAAATATAAACTTTAATAAAATAGAAATAAATAGATACGAACATTTATATTTGATAAAAATAAATTATTTTACAATGGTTATAAATAAAGTTTTATTATAATAAAGATTGTATTTAGAGACAACCGGGATGACAAATTGTCTAAGGATTTACAGATTACACAAAGGGCTAACTATTTATATCTTATTTAATCAAAATAGAATAACTATATAACCATAAATATTTAATAAAATAATTTATTTTATATAATATTTAATAATGAATAAAATAAATAAATAAAAATAAATAATTTATTTTAAATTTTTAAATAATTTTTTATATTTACAATAATTTAATGAATTTATACAAATTATAAATTTAAAATAATATTTTTAGTCGTTACATAAAAAAATAATACTTTTTACTTGATATAAAGATTTTACTTTTAATTTTTTTAATTTGAATTTTTTGTTACACAAAAGATTTTTTATTTTATACTGTATATACATAAAATGGAATTATTATTTTTAGTAAACTATAACAATTTGATAAAAAAAAAAAAAAAATTTTTTTCACTTTAAACCTTTCATGTCCTTTCATTAATTCATTCATCTGAAATTGACGCCTATAAATTTGTCCCTTCATTTATTCATTTCATTTTGAATTTTCACCTGTGCATTCTATTATGTGCTTTATTTGTTTTATTAATTGAATTATTTCACCAAAGTCACGCATGGGAAGAAGAGCTTCTTAGGCATGGTTTGATTATACGAATGACTTTAACCATTCTCATCTAAATGGGGGCCACTTGATGCATACCTAAGTGAAACATATTAACACTAGGCTTTGCGAAAATGATCACATGGATTATTATAGGTGCGCACAAAAATTAATTGGTTCGTGTCACATAATTTAATGAATTAATAAATAAAACCGACGCAGTAAGTACAGACAAAGTCTTTGAGGTTCACTCTATTTTATTAAATCGCTTACATTAAATAAGCGTGAGAAACCAAACATTCTAGATTTCTAATGTGATCTATAATTTTGCTTACAAATTACAAGATGAAATATTTTTTTCCGCTACGATTTTTATGGAAGTTTAACCTTAACCTTACATATAATTATTTTCCTTCAACCACTTTGGAACATCCTCTTTAGCGTGATTCAACCAATTGGCATTTGCACGAATTCCTTCCAAGCTTTGCATCAGTGGTCTTTTAATTTCATCAGTACTTTTGTCATCAAAGAACATTTCGATTTCTCTAGCATCCTCTTCGGACGTGAACGCATCAATAGCGCTTTTGACAATATTTCCAAATAGTACGCGCGAATCTTTGTACCAGTCAAATAACTGCATAAAAATGTAAATAAAATAAATAGTTGAATCTGAGAACATTAATTTATCCTTAAGAAAAAATCAACAACATAATTACCAAGCCCCAATTATTTTGAAAGAACTTCCATAACTCTCTCCGTGCTTTCCTGTTAGACTGAAATCTAAATAGTTAAAGGAGAAAGGAAGTTGAAGTTATATTAAAAGCAGCGTGTCATCGAGTTTTAGGCTCATGCAACATTTACCCGTAAAATGCGTAATCAAGATCTTGAGGTTTTACTTTGTCAGATATTGAAAAATTCAACGCATCTCGAATAAGATTTTCGTCTTGAACAAAGCAAAGGCCCTTGAGTGTCACAACCTTTTGATCCGCAGTTTTGGCATTCTCGTAAACTTTTTGAATGGATTTGAATATGTCGACTTCCTTCACTTTGTTCGTATTCTTTTTCGTATTTGCATAGGTCAATACTATCTCATAAACTGAACCACGAATGTTCTGATTTAAAGCAGAGTCATCACAGTTTTTAGTGAACAGCTCAAAATGACGAAATGCTTCTGATACAATGCTAAAAGAAAATCATCATTATAAATTGGAATAGCTAATACATTAATAAAATATAATAACTTACCTGTCAACTCCCGCTCTACCGGCCATC